AATTGTCCATAAAATTGAGTAATTGTGCTAATGGACAAACTGAGCTCTGTTATCTGATTTACACCAGCTGGTTAATCAATAGTTATCAATAATAATCCTGTTTTGTTTTTGTGTTCTGAATCTTTTCTACTTCTTATTCAGTTCAATTCTGTAAAATGCTGGTTAAGACGCACTAAACCCTGAAAAAAAATGAAAGAGAACACAAACTGAATTATGTTTTGTTACAGAGCCAGTGGGATGGCGAAGAGGATCGCTGATAAGGAGCTCACGGACAGGAACTGGGATCAGGAGGAGGAGGGCGAGGAGGTAAGAGGCCATGCTGAAACTGTAAGTCTGGCTTCAGGAAGTTGGAATTATGTGAGTCTGACTTTCTTGTCCTCCTTCAGGCCGGGACGTTTTCAGTGGCGAGTGAAGATGTGCTTAAGAATCGAGCAATCAAGAAGGCCAAACGCAGAAACACTGGAACCGAGGTACGAGGAGAAAACCATTGTTTACCTGTTGCGTCTGATTATAATCATGAAGTAATCTGAGTGTTTCCCTGTTTCAGAACGAGGGCAGTGGAGCATTTAAAGGCTTTAAAGGCTTCTCCTTGACCGCGGCGGCAAGCAGCAGCTCAACTCCAACTCTGTTCTCCGGGTTTGGGAATGGCGGAGGCTTCAAAGGCCTCGGCGGCCTGACGAATGGGAACAGCGGCACGCCCTCCTTCGGAGGTTTCGCCTCGCCTGCAGCGTCCTCGTCTGCACCTGGTGAGCAAAACATTGATCAGCTCGATCGGTTATTGATCGGAAACTATTTCCTCTTTATGTGCCATTCCATAGTTTCAGCTCAGATTCCTGTTCGTCCTTTGAATGCGATCCATAAATGAGCTTTCTTTTTGTGTTAAAATGTCTTCATTAGTTTTTAGAAGCTTTAAAAATGCTAAGACATGGACATGATGAGTTTATTGATCTCTTGTGGGTGTAAAATGTGTTCAGGATGCTCACAGCAGTTCATCTTTATGATCGATTTAAAAAAACCAAATTTTCCGGCTCTTTGTTTTAATAATAATAATAATAATAATAATGGATTGCATTTATATAGCGCTTTACAATTCCACTATTCATTCACACACTGGTGGAGGCAGCTACAGTTGTAGCCACAGCTGCAGACTGATAGAAGCAAGGCTGCCATATCGCGCCATCGGCCCCTCTGGCCAACACCAGTAGGCGGCAGGTGAAGTGTCTTGCCCAAGGACACGACCGTCCGAGCCGGGGCTCGAACCGGCAACCTTCCGGTTACAAGACGAACTGCCAACTCTTTGAGCCACGATCGCCCCGTGTAACTCTCTTATTCTGCTTCCTTCTTTCTAAGCTGAGCGTTCTATGCCATCACTAACACTTTCTCCTTCCTCGAAGGTCTGACGTTTAACGGGCCATCCTCGGCTAAACCCGCCACTGATATTGCCACCAAGCAGACCAATGGCTCCGCCACCAGTGCGAGTCAGAGCTCCAGCAGCAGCAATAAAGAGTACAGCCGGCAGCTCACGGCGCTCAACTGCTCAGTGCGGGACTGGATCACCAAACACGTGAACGACAACCCGCTGTGCGACCTCAACCCCATCTTCAGGGACTACGAGCGCCACCTGGCCAGCATTGAGCGCCAGTATGGCGGCGGATCAGCTGACGGAGGCTCTGAGGAGAAGAAGAAGCATGGAGGGACGCTGCCAGCCACGGCCGCAGTTCTTCCTCCTCCTTCATCTTCCTCCAGCAGCAGCTCAGCGACCTCCACTCCTGCTGCCTTGTTCTCCTTTACCAAAAACACAACGGACGAATCAACCCGGGAGAAAAGCTCCACCGCCGCTCCAATCCCTGCTGGAGTCACATTCAACTTTGGCAAGAAGGTGGACAGCTCAGTTCTGGGTTCCTTAGGGAACAAATCGAATCCCCCCAGCTTCTCCTTCTCGTCCTCCTCGTCCTCCTCCTCCAGTCAGACCTCAGTGTTCGGAGCTCCAGGATCAGCCGCTCCGCTGTCCTTTAGTGGGGCGAAAGCCGAGGGCGCTCAACCCACTGGTCAGCAAAACACTCAAATACATGAAGTTATATCTAAGTTTTAAAGCTGAGATTCTGTCTCATATTTTTTACTGTGAAGATCAAATGGGATGAGTTTGAAAATTATTTGAAAATGATTTTAAATAGTTTAAATAAATCAGTTAAAACTTAATCAGTGCTCCTTTTATCAGCAGTTTGAAAGACAAAGATTCAACATGAAAGGAAAAAACATGATGTGATTTATATATAATTTTTATATTTTATTTAATTTTATTTATATATTTTTTTGTAGACGAAAACTGTGACGAGGAGTCGGAAGACCCGCCCAAGCCAGAGGTCAAAGAGGTGAAAGAGGACGATGCTTTCTACTCCAAGAAGTAAGTTTCTGAAATGTTTCACCCTGAAGCTGCAGGTCGAGCTTCAGCTTCACATAGAAATCAATCTGAAAAGGAGGAAACGGGAGCAGCGTTGTGCACAGAACTCAGAGCTATGGTGCACCGCGTGAATGCAAGTGAAGTTAGAATAAATGAATTTCAGTCAAATTATTTAATAAAAATTAACTTCACACTGCATCTTGAAGGTTATCAGGAGGAGGAGCTTAGTAATGCTTTTGAAGCCAGCTGGAGCTGATTGGATCACATTTTTAGACAAAGATGGAGGAAAAGGAGAGGGCTTAGAAAAAAGTGAGAAACTGTAGCTCTGTAGCTTCCAGCTGTTGGTTCAGCTTCTCATCTCCCTGGCTGTTTGTCCTTTCCCTGCACTCACGGAGTTCACCTCCTCTCAGAGAGGAGCAGACAGATCATTATGTTATCCTATTGTAGTCATGAAATACTTCCAGCAAGTTTTAAAAGAACACAATGAGAAATGAACTTGACCTGCAGCTGATGGAGGAATCTCCAACCTGCTGTAAGCTTCCTCCATCTTAGTAAGATTTAGAGAGCAGACTTTAAATCTTCATCACTAAAACCCTGAAAGTGTCCCATCGACTCTGAAGATTTTTTTTTTTTTTTTTTAAATAATCCTATTTATTTAATTATAAGTGATTTGTAATTTATTAATTTCTTGTCTGCTCTGCTTCCAGGTGTAAAATGTTCTATAAGAAAGAGTCGGAGTTCAAAGATAAAGGAGTGGGAACGCTTCACCTCAAAAAGACACCCGAGGGGAAAACTCAGATGATCATCCGAGCCGATACCAACCTGGGTGAGAGCATCGCGTCGACAGATTGATTTTATATAAAACATCTGATGTCATCACAATATTCAATCCAACTTGAGATTTTTTTTCGTTAAATCAAACATAAACGCATTAATGTCAGAGATGATCAGGTTTAAAGAATCAAACGTGCATGATGTTTGTCAGGATGGTCACTGTGTCAGATTAGTAATAACAAAAACAAAGGGGACAAAAATAGACTTTAAAGTGTAATCTGAAATAACACAGACCATTTAAAGTGGTGTAACCAATAACTGCTCACTTATAATTGTAATAAGCCGCATCAAACCTACAACAGTGAAACATTTAATATGTCGAGCTTCAGGTTTCAGGCCCAGAAACATCCAAAACACCTAAAAGCATAAAAATAATCCACATTCAGCAGCTTCCTCTTCATGAGGTCTGAACTGTGATCAGACTGCTCCACCTGCTGGTCAGATACAAGCACTGCTGCTTCAACAATGAAAACGGATCAAATCCTTGATGACATGAAAAGACTCGATCAGGATTACTGCAGCTAATCAACGATATCAAAGATAAAGCTTTAAATTGAGAGCAAGTGAAACTTCTTCCACAAACAGCTGGAAGATCTGGAACTGGTACAGCTTAACCTCCATTTTTATCAAACATCAAATCCACAGATTCAGAAATAATCTGCAGATTAACCAACAGGAATCGCTGAAGGACACTAATAAAATATTTCTTTGTACTGTATTTTCCGCACTATAAGGCTCACTTTTGTTTGTTGGACCAGCTGGTAAATAATGATGTGCTACATGATTGCTAGCGAAACAGCTGTGTTAGCATAACGTAAACACAAAATTAGAAATCTTCAAGTCACCAAATATAAATATTAATTTTAAAGCCGGGTCTTCTGCTTGTATAACGTTCTCTCCTCCTCCAGGAAACATCCTGCTGAACATCATCGTGCAGCCATCCATGCCATGCACTCGGGTGGGGAAGAATAACGTGATGGTGGTGTGCGTGCCAAATCCGCCCGTTGACGACAAGAACCCCACCACCCCCGTCCCCCTGCTGATTCGGGTCAAAACCTCCGAGGACGCCGACGAGCTCCACAAGATCCTTGAAGAGAAGAAAGCCTGAGCTGACCCCGCCCCACCTCCCCCAGGGTTTTAGCAGACTCCGCAGTGGTTTTAGCAGTGGTCATCCTCAGACTCCGCCCCCTCCCACGTGGAATCACTGACCTCTTCATCGCGCCGGTTTATCCACACACACATGCACACACCCCCGTCGTTTCCTCGTCTGATCACAACGAATTGGTCGTCAAACTGTGAATCATTTCTTTGAATCGTAACAATCGAAGCAGGTCGTCGCCTACATTCCCTCCGGTTCATCGCCGCCGCTGCTGTTAGACTCGTAGTGCTTCAGTTTTACGGTTTGAATCTGTCGAGTGACTGAACGAGTGACTTCCTGAGCAGTTTTTGGGGAGTGCTCTAAGTAACGGGCCAGTCGATTTGGTTTTACAAATTAAATACCTGCAGTAACATTTCCTCTTAGAGTGTGTCTGCTGAGTGTTTTTGTGTTATTGCTCTGGAAACTATTTATTGTGTCGGCAGAGTTTCTACTTGGAGTGAATGTTCCCCCAAAGAGCGCGGCGTTTATTCTCTGTAAACACAGACTGTCGTTTTTCAAGTGTCCTTTGTGTGGCCTTCAGCTCGGCCTTCCAGATGCCATCATCATCTGAGAACATTTGTAAAGACATTTATTGGAGAATAAAAGGAAACGAAACAAGCGGCTCCTCTGTTGTCTTTATTTCTGCTTCACCTCCACAAACATCTAGCGCCGCCCTCCTGACGGGCTGAGTGCTGAGAATAATTCCAGTTTAATAGTCCCGGGAGAAATCAAGCTGAGTCTTTAAACCAGAACTGCTGCCAACATCAGGAGGTAAAACTGCATGAAGCATCTTCTCGCCCGACAAGCAACCCAAACTCTGCCTTTAACACGTGAACACGAGGTAACACTTTCATGCTCATTCTTAGTTTTAGAAAACTCTTGCACTGACCTCATTTCAGTGCAGTGATTTATTGAAGTGTAGAAACAAAAATGTAAAATACAGAATATAAGGCAAAAACAGTTTTGATGTAAGTACCTTTATTCTTCAGTCTGAACTTTGTCATCTCTGCGTCTGCAGGATATGATCTCCAGGCTTCACAGCTCTTCTTTGGATAATTCTGTTTTACATAGAAACACAGAACTATCAGGTGTGTTTTTACTGCACTGGCAGTGTGTTTGGGATCATTGTGATGTTGCTGCTGATCAGATGTGTGTATGTTCATAATTCATCAGTTTTAATAAAGATCACCTGATGACCTGTACATACTGAAAATGATTTCGATCCATCTCTCCATCAGAAGTTTTCCTCTGATTTTCAGTCCAGTTGTGTCATTTTCATAAGTCCGCCTTTCCCTGACGCTTTTTGTCTTTTGTTTGTTTTTGTCCTCAATTTGTCCAGTTTACTCAGCTTTTAAGGACCGTGCACATCATGTATTGTTTTCAGTTTGCTGGTGCAGAAATATTATGTCAAAGTGTTGTTTGATATTTTAATCTAAACCAGTGTTTCCCAACATATAGGAACCACGGCACATATTTCACGTTAACAAAAAAAAAATAATAATCACACGGCACACCACCAAACAAATGTCACAAAAAGCATATTGATAATTTTTCCCTGCGCACCAGCAGAATCGGATCGATTTCTCCCCAGTATACCGGTTTTGCTTTCTTGTGACCACTACTCATGCTATGGGCTTATCTGGGTTGGAATTTTCTCCAGGACCTTTTTTTCCCCAAAAAATATTTATCTATTGCTATTATGCCCTGCGTTGTCACACTCACTATGTAATTTCTTTGTCGCCTGTTTTACTGGCAGTTTGCAACCCATTTAATTAGAGCAGGTAGTTGTACTGCCCTCTAGTGGAAGAGAATGTAGTTGTTCTGCCCATTACTCACACCGGTCACTTAAGAAGCAGGTGGAACCAGATAATCTTCCACTGCATTTCATTTGGCAAACAGTGATCTAAACAAATGAGTCGTCTATTTCGTGTAGACACGTGAGTGAAAGGTCAGCGTTGTGTTTTAACACAAACACACTCCTGTGAACACTGTCGAGTATAAGACCTGGAAAAGCCGCCAGTGTCCAAAGAACTTTGAAAGACCTTCGGGAAGAAAAATGTAAAGAAACAGGCAGTGGTTCAGGACTTCTGCACACTACAGTTCCAGTGGTGGATGTTAACATGGCCAGTTGAGGTTGGTGTGTGTACAGTAATCCCTGTGATCCAAGGCTTCTAAGACAGTTTTTTTTTCTACTTTTGGAAGGAAAGTGTTTTTTTGTTATTTATTTTGGTGCCCTCATTACTACAGCCACACCTGGTCCTCGGCAGGCTTCCAAAAGCTGGTCAACCAGAAAAAACAGCTTTTGCAGAGGGTGTATTTAAAGGGGGAGGACCTAACACAGCATGTTTACACTGAAGGGCTTCACCACAGCTCAGTGTAACTGTAGTAAGTCCACCTTAATGACCTGTGACTGTGGGGCTGAATTCAGACGACTTGACATTGAGGCGTTTTTCTGCTAATGTGTATTTCAGTAAATAAATGCAGGAGAATGTACAGAGAGTCTGGAAACAGAAGAAGAGACAGAAACATGCACATTAAGTGTGTCTGTGTACAAAAGCTGTGATGGAAGCATGAACACGTCAACAGAAAGTTTAACAAACTGCTTCCAAAAAGGCTGTAAAAGCGTTTTACAGTGCAAACCGTCACAGTCCGTCAAACGTCTCTCACTTAAAGCGCTTGTTAATCAGCGTGGATACATTCAGCTGGAGATCTATAAACTACATCAAAAACACTGACACAAAGAAAAAGGTGCAATACGACACGGAGGAAAACACTCTGAGCATCGATGGCTTCATCTGAGAGCAAACCAATACTGATGACATCTGATCAATAACACCAACAGCCGATCTGACTCCACCCTCAAACCTGAAAACACCAGGTGTTTGTAGTACAGCGTACATGCAAATCATTAAAACCTCAAAGTGTATTCTCGAAAAAAAAAATTCCAATATCTAAAACTAATTTTAATAATGTAAGATGATAACATTACATCATTTTATCACAAACTTTGGATCAGAGTTGGAGTTTTTTCTCAAGGTACGACTTACTTTAAAAACAGATTCATTTTTCTTTGAAATTTTAGAGTAAAATTGATTTCACTTTTAGGAGGTTACTGAGATTTTCTCCATTCAGGAGGTAAAAGCAGTTTTCTTTAAATAAATGCCCTTAAAACTAAAATTTTTACTTACCTAGACTCAGTTCAATTTTAGCCCCCCTCCCCTCCTTACAGTGTTGAATTTGTTCCAGTTTTCTTAAAACATTTCTCAGCTGTAACTTTTTCCAACATCCAAAAAGATTAAGTTTTCACAGGAAACATAAAAAAAGGAGTCGCTGTGAGTCACACAGAGTGATTCTGATTCTGGTGTTCTGATGATGCAGGTGAGGAGCAGGTGACGCTTCGAAGCCTGGGCTGGTTGGTGTGTCTAAAACGTCTCACAGGTGAGTTTAAAGAAACAGGAAGTGAAAAGAGGAGATGTTACACACACAGTCAGTGTGTTTAAGGCTTCGGGAGCTCAGAGGGACAAAAAACCGGGAGTCACTTTAACATCAACAGCCGGCTGCTTCAGTTTCTTTTGTTCCCTTAAAGTTTCGTCTGGAACTTCAGCAGTTTTTCAAGTCTCGTCCAGTTTCAGCCGCAGGTTTGAAAATAAATCTGTAAAAAGTAAAAGCTGGTTTTTATAAGCTGCTTTTTTTCTTTTACCTTTTTTCGCTTTAGTGAGTCGACGTGAAAAGTCGACGGCAGAGTTTCATCATCACAAGAAAAAGTGATTTCGTATAAAGACGAGGACACGAGGACGGGGTCAAATACTGAATCATGGTTCAACAAGTCCTACTGAAATGATCCCAAACTGAACATGTCATCAGAATTAAAGCTGTATCTGTATTCAAACTCGTTTTAATTTGAACTTTAAAGTAAACTCAAAGATTTTGGACTTAAAATTTTAATTTTAGTCAAGTATTTAAATACTGAAATAATTTTGTGTAACAATTCATGAACTGCAATTTTACAATACGTTTTATTTTTTAAAACTGAATATTTTTAATGAGCTTAATGAGATAATGCAACACAAAGAAAACTCATGGCACAAACTTGTGAAAAATCTTAAGTTCTAAAGTTCTTTTTAAAAAATTTCCTTCAGCGCTGACGATAAATGCTAGTATTAAAAACACTTGTCATAAAGTTACCATTAAATGTTATAGACGGGTTGCTTTCAATCATACGTACATACAGATAAAAGTTAAAACTATTTAGTGAATACTCTGGAGTGTTGGAATAAAATATGAGAATTTCTTCATCAGGATTACTCAACGTTAGCGTTTATGATGTTGCACCAGTTAAAATAATTCAAGATTTCTCTCAAAATGACTTTAATAGATTCTCGTTTTGTTAGTTGGAAATTTTCTGTAAATTCAGTTTTATTCATATAATCACAACAAAAGTCGCCTCCAAGTTTTTCACACTGGAAGGTAAGACAGAAGTACAAATTTGTGAAAAACGCAGATATAATAACTTACATTTATAGTTTCACATCTTAAACTTATAAAATTCATTATATACAACGAAATTAAGAACGTACAAGATGAAGTTGGGTCTTCAGCATCAGAACTGTATTTATTTTCTGTATTTTTGGTTCATTAGAACACATTTACTCAGAAAATCCAACATGAAGCGAGTAGTGTTTAAATAAAGAGTTTTAGGTTTTAGTGTCTGAAGGACTCGTTTTACTGTTTGCTGATCTTAGTGAATGACTGAGGTCTGAGTCATTCTGAGAGAAATCTTAAGCTGAAAATGTAACTATTCTTTAGATGCATTTTCTTTCAGAAGGGAAAACTTTCAACATAATGAACAAAAATGATTATTTTTATAATACCTTTTCCTGTAAAATCTTTGATGTCTGATAATAAAATTCAACAACAAATATAAATAAATATGAAATATTTCATGTTTTCTCTACAAAAACAGGGGAAAAACTTGAATAAGTGTGAAAATGTGGGTCATGTCTTTGTTGAAAAAATTATCATTCTTAGAATTATTTTTAAAATTTTTGTCTTTAGTTATAATCCTGTAAAATGATTATGACAGAATCCTTAACTGACTGTGTCATGTGACACATATCACATGTCGTTTGGTTTAAACTGTGATCTCAGAGGAGTGAAAATATTCTGATAGTGAAGCTGCAATTGTACAGGTTGGTGTTTTATTCTGAAGTGAAGCGACCACTTCCTGTATAAGTCAGGTGGATTTGACCCCGCCGTTTCCTCTCACACAATCACTGTGACCCAGAATTTCACCCGTGGTGGAGTTTAAACAAGAAGTCCACAGCGAGCCGAACAGGAAGTAGGAGGCGGTCTCTAAAAGCTCGACCTTTAGTCAAGGCGTCTGTGAGAAAAGCAGCAGGTATTTACAGACAAAAACATTCTTCGCTCTCATTTCCGGTCAGTTCACGCAGAGGTCATGTGATCCTGACTCCGGGCCCATTTCCGTGGAGATGGCCGCAGGAACCGAAAGAGTCGGAGGCACTTCTCGGATGGCTGGTTTGTTCGTCGTCCCTCTGACGCCGTTTCTGCGTCTCCGGTTGAAGCGGCTGTTTGGTTGCGGGTCTCGGTCAGAACACCGGGGGCGCTGCTGTTGTCTCGGTGGCCTGATGCAGGAGGCACTTCGTAATGATGCTTTGAGTCCAGCTATGCTATGTCATCAGGATCGGCTTCTGCCTCACCTCCAGGATGTCTGAAACACACACAGACACAATAAATAACAGAGCGCGCACAATCCATCAGTGATCATCAGCACACATCTGCTGTTACTGACAACACAAAACAATGTTAATGATCTCCTGCTGGGCAATGAAAGACAAACATGATCCTGCAGATTATCCAAAGGCAGGTTTTATCCTTTATTTAACCCTCAATAGAATCAATATTATGAATTAATGAGACCTAAAATAAATTTAAAATGTCATTCTTTACTTCCTGCAGTTCCCGCAGTCTCCCTGCAGAGGGTAGTAGGGCACTGTGGTGCTGTGTGAGTGTGAGACCTCTGACCTGTGGTGATGCGGTGCAGTGGCAGGGTGACGTAGGTCAGGTGTGAGTACAGCAGGAAATAATCCTCTGCCCGGTTCAGTTTGAGCCACGAGCCGACCAATGAGCGCCCGGTGCCCGACAGCGAGCGCGAGCGGAGGTTTGTGGTGGTGTGAAGATCTGAACACAAAAAAAAAAAAAGAAAAAATGTTATTAATAAGCCATTTTTGGTAATGCTCTTAAATGTTTTACAGAGTAAATTAAAGACTTTTGCCCACTGAGGGTTAAAATTCAGCTTTAAGTAAAACCAGAACATGTCATGGCGCCATTTTACACTTACTGTCATTAAATTCTCCAGCTGGGTTTCTTACAGAGGAGCAGGAAGTTTGCTTACTGGAGGTTCAAAGATGATCAGATATCCTAGTGGCTCTGACCATAAACCGTGCCAACATTTGATCGGGTAGCGTTTTTTTCCCCATAACTGACCAAGCAACATCCAGGAACCCAAAGTCTGAATTCCAGGACGAGTTTAGTTTACTGAGCCACAACCGCACAGGTTACATTTAATTAACTTTACTGATCTGTTTTGAGAACTCTAGGTAGCTAGTTTGTGACACATTCATGTTTCTGGATCTTTGATTACTTCAGGGGGAAAAGGAGATTTTGAACCTGCTGCTGAGAACTGCTGTATATTAGAAACGACTGTTTAATGATCTTTTATTAATGTTGTGTTATCACAAAGAGACTCACAGCTAACCTGATTAATAAACTGAATTAATTCAGGAAAACGTTACCCACACTTGTGGTGAGCGTCTCAGGAATGAGGCAGAAGTGCCAGTCTTTACCTTCATCTTCCTCCTCCCTGAAGAACTCCTCGCTGTCGTTGGCAGAGTGAGACTTCTTCATCTCAGCGATCCGGTTTCGAGGCATCTTGCGCCTCAGAGACGGCGAGAAGAAGGAGGGGCGGTTCTTCTCCGGGGTCGGAGGCGTGCTGAACGATGTCACCTGAGGAAGGACAGCAGGTTAGAGTCCACACAGGAAGTAAGATTTAATCACATGTCACCGAGACCTCGTTATACAGAAGTGAGACGGGGAGGCAGAAGAGATGTTTCACTGGCCGAAATCCTCAGTTTCATTTTATTCGTTTGCAATCCAACCTTAAATTCCCGATGTACTGCAAGTGTACGGCTGGTGACCAGAGCAGGGACACGAAATTCTCTAAAACCCAAACTGTTTGTCTTGTTGGGAAGTTTCACATTAATAAAGTGAGTCGCATACAGAGATCGGAACCATCGATCGAGACATTTAAAAGCCCCAAAGGAGCAAATGTTTGGCTTTTTGTTTGTTTTTAAAAACAGGGGCACAAATAAACCCAAGAGGAGGGGCTCAAAGAAGGTTTCATAAAGGATGGCATCATCAGCAAAAAAGTATACTTTGTGTTCAGCTGTAAAGTCTTATTCAAGTAAAAAAATATATATATATATATCAGAAGGCCTAATGTCGAACCCTGAGGGACATCTTACTCTGGAACAGCAGAGAAATTTGGCCTTTTCAGGAACAACATTGTGAATTATATATTTAATAAAACATCACAGGAGTCTAGGCTTTTCTGTCTGTGGTCCACAGGTGATCAGTGGTTTAATCTGCTGATTGTGCATCATTGTCCTGCTGGTGATGGTGGGATGATATGCAGCTTGTATTACAGAGACACAAGCCAACCTGACCAGCACCAGATTCTTTGGTAATGAGGAGAAAGTTTAGCTGGAAATCAGCTGAAACGTTTTCTTCTACATCTCTGTGTGATGTCCTGATGTTCAGAGAGCTTCCTGTTGGAACGTCGGGCAGTTTGAAGTTTATTTGTGGGGAAGAGCTGCTCCAATTAAGCCGAGTAAATTTATTCCTTCAGCTCTCCCATCGCTCCTGTCCTTGTTTCAGTAAACACCGTCACATCCTTTGGTTCATGTGAAGTTTTTTTTTTTTTTTAATTATTGTTCAGATCAATAATCAAAGAGTGGATTCATGCTGAGCTCTCCTTCCAGCAGACGTCTCTGTGAGAGACACATCCGGCTGTTAAATGATGCACAGTCAGTCCAGCTGCATGTATTATTGATCTCGACCTGATTTCGTCTGAGCAGAGCTTCGTGCCGTTCGCTCGACTCACTTCCTGAGTTTTGGGGTTTTCTGTTCTACTTCTCAAAGATCTCGGACACAGAAGTGAAACCACACCAGTGGTTGCCCGAGCCGAGCAGGTTTTCATCACAGCTATAGCTCTGTGATGGAGATGAGCTTCAGGTGAAGACCTTCAGATTTCATTTAAGAGGTTAAACTGAAACATTCAATTAGCTGCTGAGGGATTACAGTACTCTGTTGTAACTGGACAATTCAATCAAAAGCCTTTTAATGCACAGATGTGGAGATATGTGGGCTGTTCATTCACTTTTCTTTTTAATGTAAGCAGGAACAAAGGCCTGGACATGATTACAAAAGTGTCCAAGGAACTCTGATAGCAGTAAAACAGACTGTTATAAAAGAGGATGGATTGATTTTATGCAGAATGATCCTTTTATCACAACATAAAGCTAAGCGTACCATATCCAGCTCTACTGTAAAGAGGTTTTATAGAGCAAGCACAGGCTTCAGTACAAGGTTCAAACTGTTTATCGGCCTCGGGAATGAAAGTGAGATCAGACTTCAGCAGCTCAAAAAGCAATTTAACTGAAACTCCACCTGCAGTGTTGTTCTGTGGTGGATGGTCACACGAGCCTCTCTGTGGTAACTCAGATTTCAACCTAATCACAGCTGGTCTCATCCTCTGAAGAAAAACTCGGTTTGAGACATAAAGCAGTCCTCTCCACAGAGTATTACAGTAAAGTGCTTACGTTCAATCACATTTGAGGTCATGAACACAGCTGTTGAAAAACAAAACCTTCAAATCTGTTGTGGAGACATTCAGAGGAAAAAATGAAAAATCTCAAGACTGAATATTTAAACGGCATCTTCTCCCTCACCCTCTCGTGCATGGGTGACACCTGGTCCTCCTCGGTGCCGCAGGGGGAGGTGTTGCCAGTCGGCACCCTGCTGACGGCCATCTCGGCGTGACCTTTGCCCTGCGGCCCCTTCATCCTCACAAACTCCATGTTGTTGTACTTGTAGAAGCCGAAAGACATCCGCTGGGCCATCTTAGCAGCAACGCTCACCTGAAACACGACACGGACGTCAAACTGCTGACAGTTGATTGACCCATCACACCTGAGAGCTTCAGAGTCTGCAGGTGTTCTTAGCCCAAGTGTCAAGACTTCATAAATGTGAGCATGCTAAATGAGAACACATTCACACTCCTGTAGCATGTTTCTGCTAGTGTAGTGCAGGTGTTCATGTGTGCAGGTGTTCATGTGTGCAGGTGTTCATGTGTGCAGGTGTTCATGTGTGCAGGTGTTCATGTGTGCAGGTGTTCATGTGTGCAGGTGTACGCTCTGGTCTCTAACCCGGTTGTCGTAGACCTTCTTGAGCGCCTCGTAGCGGATCGAGCCCTGGAAGATGACGCCCTGGAAGGTGTTGCTCTTGTCGCTCGCCACCAGCTCCACACACACCATCTCGCCCTCACCCACCGTCATGTCACTGAACACCTGCACAAACAGAAGGTCACATGACTTCACCTGCAAATGTCCCGTGTCTTTCTGTGCGGCAGCAGAAACAGCGTCTCGTGACTGTGGTCAGCAGCGTTTCCCTTGCCTTGGAGGATCATCGGTTTCTGTCCCAGCGCGAACTCTGCTGCTTGTGGCGGTACAAACGCTGCGCTTGTGCACAAGCTCGTTTTTAAATGGGCCGAGAGCTTTTAGTCACGCTTCATCAACTAATCTGCGCAGTCACCGCCCTCACTCCTCCCCCACCTCCCCTCCTCAGTGTGACAGCACTGTGAGCTCAGAGACGTTTCACCACAGAAGCTCTGCACGAGCTCAAAACATCCTTTTACCTCCTCAAAGTTGTCGATCATGAAGAAGATGTTGGGGTAGCTCATCTTGGACTCCTCCCCTTTGCTGTCCATGGCATGTTTACTCGGAGATGCGAACACTTCCTGTGAGCACAGGCGGGGAAATAAAATGAGACAAATCACGGGTGGGATGAGAGAAGGTTGGTGGCTTCATCAGCTCGAGCTGCTGCAGAGCGCCTACCTGACATTTCTTCTTGTGGATGTGGATATCTCCTGCGTCTGAGCGTGTGCAGACGGCGCACGTCACCACATAGTCCAGCTGGAAGAGGGTGCAGGAGTCAGGTTAGTGAGGACAACAAAAAACAGTTTAAAAGATTCTTTTTTTAAACTTTACTGCTCTGCACCTTCTGAAGGATGAGGTTCAGGTAGACGCTCTCCTCCCAGTCGATGTCGGGGTCACCAAGGCCCGGAAGCTTCTTGGAGTCCCTCCTGTAGACCTCCACCTCCACCTGAAACACAGCACAAAGCCTCCATCAGCACCACGTCTGAACACACTTACCATCAGACTCAGCTCCTTCAACCTTACTTCCTCCCAGATTCCCTCTCCTACTTCCTCTTTTTCCCCATCCATCCCGCCTATACACATACTTCCTTCCTTCCTCCACCGTTTCCTTGCCCACTTGGTGAATTTCTCTGGTCTTGAGGGAAATACAAGTTTTCCACAAGCCAGCCTTCATATCACTCAGAAACCATTTAGAGCGTAGGAGCGGTCGTCATGGTTTCCCTGTGAAGCGCTTGTGTGTGTGTGTGGTTTTTATGTGGCCTCAGATCCTCCTGCTTTGACGAACTGAAACTGAAAAAGTGACGCTGATTCAGCAAAAACACGAAGCTCATTTCAGGTCAAATGACTCTAGTTTTCCATTGTGTGTGTGTGTGTGTGTGTGTGTGTTGCAGGAGATTATGATCCTGATTTCACAGCAATGCAAACTTCATGAACATTTTCTGACCTGAACGATGAAGCAAACATGTCACAGCAGCGTGACCCGCTTTACGGCAGCTGCCATTTTGATTTCACATCTTAAACCAGGTGCAGCTTCTTCAGTTTGATGTCATGAACCATTTCTGGTCCAGATGTTCAGTCTGACATCACGCAAACTCCAAGGGTTAAAGCGATTGAAGCTCCAGGCGTCCATCAGAGAACATGAAACCAATGAAGAAGAACCAAAACCCACAAATCCTCCAAAGGTCAAATCACACGTCACACACACTGATGCCAGCTGAAAGATCACCTGGAATGCACTTTTTGAAGGATCAGAAGCAGAGGAGCTGGTGTCTGATGCAGGTTGTTCACACTCGCACTGATGCTCACAGCTGGTTAAACTTACAAATGCTGGAAAAAAGTTCCTGAGCTTAAATAAGTTTTCCCTGGAAACATTACAAATGTGAAGGAGAAAGGTTCCCAGAGCTGTTTCTGCTCTGGGACAGGAAGCAGAGACCTGGACACAGCAGGGGGATGAAGGACGAACACAGCCTGAGCTTATAAAATATAATTATGACGACCAGAGATGAAGAGCAGGACGAGGCTGAGATTTAGGGCATCATGAGAAATCTGCAGGTTTAAATGTTTGATCACAAAGACAAAAACTAAAATGATAATAAGTTAATCTCAGATTAATTTCAGTTGCTGAGACTAATGCTTCTGTCTCATCAGCTGGCTCCATCGTTTTTCTGATCTGCTCTTCTTCAGGTTCTGTTCCTGTGACTGAAGCTGCATTCTTCAGAGGACAGAGTGATGGGAAGCTGATGGCTGCTGTCGCTGCCGATCATCTCGCCGGCTGTTATGGCGTCTGCTGTCTGTATCGTCTGATCTGCTGTTAGTCTGACTGACAGCCACGGACGCTGCAGTAAAAATGAACCACACTGTCCACCTGCGGGCGAAGCCGCTCTGCTGCAGACTCAGATAAATCTAATCATCAGATCTGTCAAAGGCCAGAGCCACGGAGGAAAGTGTGAGCACCTCAGAGAGCAGGAAGTCCTCTGGGGTCTTTTCAGGGTTGATTGTGGGACAGATGTAACCACTCTGGGTCGGTGCTTTGGATAACCGAGCCAACGTCTCAGTGGTTAAAGTTTAGTTCTCTGATTTTCCTTTTTTCTGTCACATATTCTGCTCCTGTGGTGGACAAACTATCATAACCACATCCAAAATTTGCAATATGTCATTTAATGGGCCAAAAACTTACAGGTCAGGTTCACCGAAGGTAAAAATACAAAAAACTACAAATAAATAAAGGAGACGCAGGAAAGGGTCTGAAAAACTCTGCATTTTCACAATAAAAGTAGTAGGAAAGCTCAGGGCAAGGGAGCGATGGTGGGACAAAGTCTCCCTCTGAATGATCCTCACATGAACACCAACGTTACACAACCTCTGCAGCTCACAGGGAGCCTGAACATGGTTTATTTTAATGCTGCTCCACATCCAGACCAGCAAGCCATCTATTATTCACCAACAGAGACACAAATGCAGCCTCACATCCATCATGTCTCACCGCCTCATTCACGTTTCTCTGAAACCTTTTATTTTGAAATCCTGGCCGTCAGGCTCTGCTGGTGCTCTGCAAATGTCTGAAACGTGAGCGATGATGACTCTTTACATCAAGTGTCATGTCACCTTCTTGCCCTCGCTGTTGTCGGCGCTGACGTAGGAGAGCTTCCGGCGGACGTAGAACAGCATGTCGTCCTGTCGCGGCGCCCACTTCTCCATAAAGTACGTGGAAAACATCCAGGTCCAGAAAACGATGCGGTCATCTTTAAAACAGCCTGCAGAGACAAGAAACACGAGGTCAAAACAACAAGTCAGCACGAGAATTCAGTTTAAAGCAGCTTCATTTTTAAACAGTCTGTGGAACGATTTCTGAGTAAATGACTGGGATGGATTAGACATGACTGTCTGAGCATGCTCGCTGGCGCACACCACATAATCGTCCCGACGTCATTAATGACCAAATTTTACTCAATTAACTCCATGTTTTATTCAATGTTACTGAAACTATCGCGACTCATGAGGAGGGTGTTTACGTGTTTTCCCATCAACGTTTATGGGACCAGAAGCCTTTAGGCAATCGTTGCCCCTGGTGCAGAATGCAGATTTAAGACCTAGAAGCTATGTCTATCCTTTACTTTTCTTGTTGCACTCATGTATGGAATGGGCATCTTCCTGTTCTTTCCTTTCACAGTAAAAGTACTTGACTGTGACTGCCCAACAAAAACCACTTTGACAGGATTCACGTTCCTTACTGTTGTGGGTGTTCCTGACTGTTAAGAGCTGCAGGGTGTAGTAAAGTACTGTACATACACCATTTTTCTCCACTTACGGTCCGAGTCCGGCAGTTAGAAAAAGCCGACAGTTTATTTCATGCACATATTGCTCTCTCATGATATTTGCATAGCATTATCTAATTGGCTAACAGCTGTCACCAACTGTGACATGACAGATGTTTCAAACGTTGAATAACTAAATAAATGAATACATTTTGGTGCTGTGTGACATCACAGCGTTTAAAACGAAGGAAAGGCGAGACTAGAGAAGCCTGAAACACGTCCAGTGATTCCTACCTTACACTTACAGAGTGATCGGCTGCTCGAGGAAAAGAATATTTGTTCTTCAACTGCTAACAAAATCTGGCCTCAGTTCAAGCTTCTTTATAAATTTTGGCCTTTCAGAGGAACAAAAACAGAAAAAGGGAAGAAACTATTCGGCAACAAGAGTTCCTTCAGCAAAAATACATGCATGAGCATTTATTTACTCATATCGAGGAACATAACAGACAGCTGTGACAGTTCAGTCATTTTTAATCCAACATCAGCACCGATCTTACTGATCTATGGACAGAATCCAGCAGCTGCTGATGTCAAGCAGCACACAAGTGGTATTTAGGACAGCAGTGCTCCTCAGAGGTTTAAACCAACCTGCAGCCACGGGAAACAATCAGATGATTAATTAACCAAACATCCAGGTTCAAGGTCTGCACTTCAATAAAAGCTTTAACTACAACTGTGACATCACGAAATCTGAAACTGTTCCACAAAAATTAAATATTAAAATAAACTTTTTCATTCAGACGGGCTTCAAAAACCTGAGCACTGAGACTAAACCTGGACTTAAACGTTTCAAAGGCCTTTCCCTGTGAATATGGTGTCAGTGAGTGTTTAATGTCTGAAAGCAGCTCAGAGGAAGTGTGCTTTGTTCACACTCTGTCTCTAAAATCTATTATTCCATTATTCAGCTCCAGCTTTTGTTCAGATCCACAGTTATTTCTTCCTTATGACCAATAAAATCAGCTCATGCATTATTCACAGGCTGCTGGATTACTACACACGCTTTTATTTTGAAGGATCAAACAGGGCCGAGTGTGAGAGGATACAGACACCAATCGATTTCATACTGACGCTCTGTGTTTCACTCGGTATCGACCCCCTGTCCTCCGTCACCCCGGGTTCTTTGCTACCTTTTTACAGGCCGGAGGCACCTGCCTTGTTGCTTAGCAACAGTTGTCAGGCAGTTGCCAGAGAATGACTCTGCATTGAATTAAACTTCCTGCGAGAGCTTCTCTTGCAGATAAACCTGGAGAGCAGCAGGAGAAGGTCAGCGGGTCAGACGGCTGAACCGGAGCCAATTAAGATTCACGCTCATTAGAGTTTTTGCTAATTTTGATTTAATTAAAGAAAACTGGTGAACTTTGATTCCTCACACAGTTTAACATGTTTTAAATTAAACACATCGATGCTGAGCTGTGTGTGTGTGTGTGTGTGTGTGTGTGTGTGTGTGTGTGTGTGTTCCTTCCTGTCTGTGATTGGCTCTTGTTGAGTTGGACTCTTTGTGGACCACAAAGCCACTGTGACACCACGCCACATTTAGAAGCCTCGGCGTTTGCATTTTAGCTGCTAATGTTTTGTGTTAGCACAGAAAAGAAGATCAGACGCCATCTAGGGAGGATCAGAAAGACAAACTCAACAACATTGTTATCCCCTATGTTGCCGGTTTATCAGAAAAACTCAAGAGTCTTCTTCAAGCATGACATCCCAGTGTACTTCAGACCCAGCTACACACTCAGACAAAAACTGACTCATCCCAAAGACAAAACTCCTAAACACAAACTTAGCAACGTAGAGCATGCTGTACAGTGCAGCAAGGAACGCCCAGACCTCTACATTGGAGAGACCAAACAGCCACTTCACAAATACATGACACAACATAGAAGAGCCAACTCGACGAGACAAGACTCGGCTGTCCATCTGCATCTAAAGGACAAAGGTCACTCTTTCGAGGATGCCAATGTTCACATCTTGGACAGAGTACAGATGGTTTGAAAGATGAGTGAAAGAAGCCATCTATGTACACTGTGAGCGACCATCTTTGAACAGAGGCGGTGGTTTACGACACCAACTCTCTGCCATCTATAATCCAGTTTTGAGATCCTTGAGGCTCCAACAGCACAAACACGATCCAGAGGGCCAGTTCAGTGACTCCAGTTAGCTGAGGTGGAGCTGCTAGCTGTCTGCTAGCAGCTCCAGCCATCTGTGTCACCATCCACCCAGTCAGTTAAAGAGGCCACGCCCCTAATCATGCAAACTTTAAGCCCTATTACAAGTTATATTAGTCTCTGACTCCTGATATTACAGTCTCAGATAAACAATTACAATCTTCCTCTTTTCTAATAAATAACACTTTGTCATCTGCAAATAGTGACAGTTTTCTTACTATTCCTCTCTTTTACTTCCTCTTTATTCCTTGGCAAAAGTTGTTGTGAAGCTGGAACTTCTCTCTAGAAACCAAAACAGTTTGTGCATCAGGGTGTAAACATCTTTATTTCTGCTGTAAAAGTTTTAACACAGCTGTCCGCAGTTATTTTTTAGCCTGTTTAATGTTTAATTACCTTCTGCTATAAATATATCTATATTGTCTATTTTACCTCCCATCTGTTTAAAAAGTCCCCCTCTCTAAAGATCAGATCAGACTTTAAGATTTTATTCTGTTTCTAGATTTTATAAGTAGCCTTTTATTTTCTTTTGCTGTATATCCAATTAAAATTAAAATCGAATTCTAAATATTCTAAGATCAGTACAAAGTTAAAGGAGACACAGCATGACGAGGAGTAACCAAACCACATGATGTGGGTATAAAGCCCTTCCATGATGGTGTATTGGCATTTCATTAAATTTCACAGATATTAAATGAATTAGTTTAACTCTATGTTGGTCCAGGAGGATAAACTTCGTTTGCTTTGATTTGTTCAGGCTTTAGTTTAATTTGAGATGAAGATGAAACCAGAGTAATTGTACAAACACTTCTTATGGGTTTAATTTAGAGTGACTGAGAGGACGAGTCTGAATAAACCTGCAAATAATGGAAATAAATGAATACTTATCACTGGTTCTGGTAGGTAAATACAATTTTTTTCTTTTTTCTTTTTCTTTTAAATGGTACTTCTCATAAATAAACATCTCATAAAGAACTGACATGGCGATCGTGGCTCAAGAGTTGGGAGTTCGCCTTGTTATCGGAAGGTTGCCAGTTCGAGCCCCGGCTTGGACAGTCTCGGTCGTTGTGTCCTTGGGCAAGACACTTCACCCGTTGCCTACTGGTGGTGGTCAGAGGGCCCGGTGGCGCCAGTGTCCGGCAGCCTCGCCTCTGTCAGTGCGCCCCAGGGTGGCTGTGGCTACAATGTAGCTTACCATCACCAGTGTGTGAATGTGTGTGTGAATGGGTGGATGACTGGATATGTAAAGCGCTTTGGGGTCCTTAGGAACTAGTAAAGCGCTATATAAATACAGACCATTACTGCAGAAGTAATTAAGCTTCTCTGATGACAAGCACCCCAAGATGGGTGTTTGTGGTCTTGTTGTCTAGCCTCTCCGAATTACTCATGCTCCTATAAAAGGACTAAGACTTCCTCTGTGGTGTTAGTACCCGATGTCAGCAGTCATTATTCAGAGTTTACAGCTGAAACTCAAGTGTGTGAATTAATGTTTAGGCTGCTGCTTAAAGCTGTTCACATTTCACACAAGTCAACACCTCCGAGCTAAGGCAGCAGCCAAGCAGAGCCGCTGGCTGTAGAAAGGAAATGACCTCTGGCCTTCATCCAGTCACGCTTGGCATGAGGGATGTTTTCCCCAGACGGGGGGTGAGTCAGTGAACACGACCTGCTGGCAACCAGAGCAGAAGAAGCTCCAAAGAGCAACAGGAAGCACTGAACCAGCCAAAAGAAATCCTTAACTCAGGCTCCAATATCAGGTAACTACAGTCAGAGTAATGACTCAGTAACTTTAAACCACGCCTCACAGCCAGCATAGTTTATTAAACCTCAGCATCTCATACTTGACCATCAGTCCTTTAATTTCTGGTACTTTAAAACGGCAGCTCTGCAGGAAGGACAAACCACATTCTTCCAGGGTTTTGATGACGGTGCAGCGTCAACTGTTGCCACACCTTGTGTTGTTGGCTGTTGTTTTAATCACATGTGAACACCAAACAGCCCAGATTTTGCATTTAAGATCCACCTATCATGCCAGAGGTGTAGCTGTTTACCAATATCCTTAAATATCCTCGGAGTATTTGCTGTGAAACTCTGGAGCTCAGACGACTGTGTTTGGGATAACTCTAGAAATCCGAAAGGTTCCAAAAAAAAAAAAAAAAAAATCATCTGAGAGAGCAAACCCTGAACCACTGAAAACCTGAACAGAGACCAATAAAGGCTCCATACAACCTCGTAGTGACTCCAACAATACCTAAACCACAGGTGTCAAACTCCAGGCCTCGA